CGACGGCTTTTTGCCCCCCCCCCCCCCCTTTTTGAGGCCTCAAACAGTGAAAAAATGCCCTATTTAGGCCCCAAACACTGTTTTTCGTTTGAGAAATGTTGTTAAAAAAATTGACCATTTTTTCGGCGCCGTCCCCCATCCAAATATTACCAACGCTGAAAAGCCTTTGACTCTATCTCAATCCCTTGAGAAGTGGCAGCACTTTGAAATAAATTTTGATGGAAAAATTCGAGGCAAAAAAGTGATTTTTTGGCAATTTTGAGATGTCCCCTCGTTGCCATGGTAACAGGAAATTTAAGACTGAGCATGTCGTTACAAAGGCAATGGTCCAGTCAACATTTGTGCCAAGTTTGATTAGTATTGAAGCATTTTTCATAGTTTCATAGCAGTTTGAACTTGTGAGAGGAGGCTTTTCAGTGAAAATTGCCATTTTTCACAATATGCTCATGGGGGAAAGGGTTAAAACCCCTTCAGAAATTAATGTGTAATAACCTTCAGGCTTCAGGTTGGTACCAGCTGTTTAAGGGTTGGTTCCAGGAGCTTAAGTGTTGGTTTCAGTAGTTTAAGGGTTGGTTCCAGTGGCTTTAGAGCTAAGATCATGCAAGGTCACTTATATCTAATACACAAAGGGAGCTGATACCAGGTGACTCGAATATGAACCTTAAAATTACATTAAAGTAACACATCAAATATTGAAGATAACAACATTTCAGGTATGAACTCACTAACAAAATATAATTAATGATACCCATTAGCATATTTTGAGTCACAATGTCAAGATTTAGAGTACTGTCACCAGAATAAAGCCAGGATCAAGCTGTGATTTCACGGCTGCTTCTCAAGTGACAAAAGAGGGAGCCAGTAATATGTAGTTATCATAAATACCTCAAATATAGAAACATATCTATGCATAGTGCATGTTGATTTAGTATCTGTAAGATAAATAGCTTTTATAATGTAAGTTATGCTGTTTGAAAATAATTAATTCATTTTCATCTCAAGAAAGTGTCAACTTCTCTTAAACAGTAATTTTAAATTCCTATCAGCCTTAACCATGGCAACAGATAAAGTGTTAAAATTCAAAGTTCTGGTCATGCTTTCACTAATGTTCTCAAACTGAGACAAATTAAACCCAAGATTGTCTCAAAGTCTTATGATATTTTTACTCACCTGAAAAAAAAATCTCAAGTTTGCTTTCACTAAAATTATTCTGAACATAATTTTTCTCAATTTGAGACTTTCTTACTTTAAAGACATAAGCATCTTTCTCATTCAAGACTTTCTTATTTTTTAAAACATAAGCTGTCAAGCAGCTATCTTGGTTTAAACATATTTCAATTTACATTTTGCATGATGAACAATATTTACACAATACATTGGGCAGGGATTGGGCAGAAAGCTATGAAAGCTTACGAGTGTCCTCTCCTGAGCAACTATCTTTAAACTTCAATCAAATTTCTAAATGTTGATATGACTGAAATATACAAAATGTGCATTTTTCTTTAACCCTTAGCCAGATAGCAGTGATAAGGTTTTACCCTTGACACCATATTCACCATAAACCTGAAGGACCCGACATACCGGGACTTTACCAGCAATGTAGAGCCAGGATAGTCTGTAGCACAATGCAATCTTAATAAGATAATTTTGGCTTACCAACTTGAAATTCTTATCTTGATTTCCCCTATATTGATAAAGGACCATTCCAAAAATGAAACCTGGACAAGTCCATTTAAGAAATTCAGGAGGTAAAGGGTTTAAGCCAAGCTAAATGAACAGTAAGACAAGAACATTATACATAACAAGCATTGCAAGGATATCCACTAAGTGTTACGATAGTGCTGCATTATGTCATTAATTATTATATACATGTAATCTTACATGACAATAATATATACATTAATAAATATATTTTATAATTATGTATCCAAATTATACAGTTGTAAAACAATGTGGAGCTAAAGTCAATGATTATAATGTAAATTAGACAGGTACATGTATTGCTTCAATCTTTTTCCTGCCATAAAATAAATCTTCATTATCCCTTTGGGTTGAACAGAATTTTTCTATAAATATAATCATACTTAAATTAATCAACAACCGTTTACAACAATGTAGATCAGAAAAGGCAGTTCTTCATTCTTGTTTTTCACTATTTTAATCTGTATTGTTGAATAACTACATTTTGCATAGATGTCATATTTAAATGTATATGAATGTGAAAGGTGGTATCTTTAAAGAAAAGGTTCGCTAACAATTTTTTAACAGTCTTTGGCCTAAATAATTGGAGTAAATTAGAGTAACATTGTTCTACATAATACATCTGAAGGAAACAACAACAGTTTCTTGGTTTGAGATATTTTTATACAACTGACACAATATAAAGAAACAAATCGTGGATTTGATAGAAACCGACGCAGCGTAAAAGAACACGGAATTCTAACTTCCTTTCCGAGTGTCACATCTGTATGCGCAAGTGTTAATGAATAATATATCCAACTGAGAAAATAAACCACTATCAAGACATTTAAAAAAATATCATTAACTTGTCACATTTTAAAGTTCACCAAATTTTCCATTTCAAACAATTGTAAAAAGTGATTACCTGTTCTTTATAACTGCTTTAATGCACGCATGTGATGAGAAAATTGTTCATTTTTTGTCATCTTGGAAGAAGCCTTGTCACTCACAAGTTTAAATGGATTGTATTTACGTGAACTTTAGCTTGTACCCTTTATATTGTTCTTTTTACATCATGTCCATTTTTAGACATGGTGTCATAAAAAGGACTGGTCAAATATCATTTCTATTTTGACCCGTACCTTAAAACTTGCTACCAAATGACATTTCAAAATTTACACAGAAGGTGCCAGATGTGATGGCACTTTATGAAGATATTCTGCTCTTCTGTAAACTTTTTTAATAGCTTAAAAAATAAAAAAATGGAAATAGATCTAGTAGAATTATTAAGATATCAGAAGAAGTTAATGTACTAAATTATGTAAATAGGATAAAATGTTGGAAGCTGACTAAATAAACAACTTTTTTACAGCATTCAGAAGACCTTTAATAAGTACTTGCAAATAAATAATTCAGTATTTCTAAAAACTATAATATTTTTTAATTCTTAAAAATTCAATGTTTTAATAAGGCTCTATTTCTATAAAAAGAAAAAAAGAAATATTTTTTCAGTATGTCTAAAAATTTATGTGTAATTTGGATTTCTAAAATATTTTAGGATTGTTAAAAAAAACTTAAATATTACAGAAAACTCAGAACTTGTCTTTACACTAAGATATCATTTTAAATAGTCAGGAAACCTTATGATGAACTTCAGTTGACATTTACATTCAATAAGAGGTGGTATGAATCCTTAATCTAATAACTTGACATAAGATCCGTTTCAGTCATTTCTTCAAGACATACAGACGGGCACATACAACAATACCCCCTACACTAATCATATATTTTGTATCTAGGGGCTATAATATTACCTGTCAGTATGTATCAATATTAAAACTACTTGACACATGGCCATAGATTATTGACCATGTTCTCATAAAAAGGACTACAATATTTAAACAGTGAAATTTGAATATCTTGTACAGTACCACATTTTGATTAGTTTATAATTCAATAGGGCCCTTCAAAAGGTCAGGGGCCCTTTCCAATATTTACATGTGCCCTCAACCCAATTCCTATTGTGTGTTCTAAAGTTTATTAAATTTGATTTTTCCTGTTGTTTAATAATAAACACTGTTGAAAATGGTTTGAAGGGAGAAAGATCAAATATTTAAAGAGACATTAGAGTGAGGGAGCAAAGTGGCTCGGAAAATGTTTACCTTCGTGCTTGGTGACACGTCAACAAGGCAACAGTATGTGCAATATTATCAACAGTTTCTGGACATTATAATTATACCGTTTTATATAAAATTTTCAAGAGATTCTTTGCAAAGAATTTGCTTAAAAGATAGTAAAAATTTTCTGTAAAAGTCAGCATTTTCACTACCTGAGCAAATTTGGTTTTCAAACAAATGTATCAAACGTTAACACAAAACTTTCTGGTAATAGTAAACAGTTAACTACCTGGTATAAGTATTTTGTTGTCCAAGACAATCTAAATCTTGTTACAAATTATGCAAATAATAAGCTTGTATTCCATTCTTATTGTTCTTGGCAACTTCATGACTGACTAAATAGCTTTTTTCTATTTTTCTTATCTTTAGTGCCAGATTCATATCGTGCATCATCCTGTAGCTGTTGACCTGTAACATGCTGAATATTTTAAAAGGACTTGTTCGACTTCCATTTTTGGGACTGTCCATTATCAATTTTAGGGATATCAATTTGAATATTTAAAGTTTGTCAGCCAACAGTAAAGAGCCTGGCTCTATACTGGTGACAAAGGCTTAACGCTTTCAGTTCCAGCAATTTAAGGGTTAACAAAAAAATTTCACATATTTGTAAGTTTAAAAACCACTTACTTAACCAATCAGAATGCAAAAATATTAAAATACTGAAATAGTTAGGCAAATAGTTGTTAAATTTGGTTCTGTATGAAATTTTTTCTAATATTCAGTTCTTTATGAAATATACTAATATTTGGGAAATCTCAACTCCTTGCATGTAGATGGCCTCAGAATCTACTTGTGTGACCAGTTTAGACCAAGATAAGCCAGCACACCCATGCAGTCTTATTATGATCTGCACTGTTGGCATTTCATTCATTATATAGTTTGAAATATTATTTTCAAAATATGAATGGTTTTTGTTCAATTAATAAAAGGTTAAAATAGTGGAATAGTTCAATAGATCCTTGAAAAAAAATCTACATAATTTAGAGAAGCTGCCATCACTTTTTGTTTTCTTAATTCTATAGATATTACTATATATATACATACTAAGAATTTATCCAACACAATCAACATGGCATGGGAGAGAATACAGACAGTGACAGAGACCATATATGGTAACTATAGGAACAATCTCTCTAGATTTACCTGCCTCAATATCTCATTCCTAGCATGCTTGTAAGCACAATGCCAATATCTAATATGTGTCTTACATTCTTCTTACCAAGTACATCTTGCCAAGTTGATCTTCTAAAATATCTGATGTTATCTGTATTCTAAAATTACAAAGAATATTTAAGAATTAAGAATCAAACACTATCATCAAGAATTTTAAATAAAACAAAGAAACAAAGATCACCACCAATGCTGGAGATCTATATATGGTAAAATGATAAAATCCCTGCTATTATGAAATACCTTAGTCCTGCAGGTACGACCATTATCTCCCCTAATAGGTTTTTCATTTACAGCAGGATTTAAATGACAGTTACATTAGTGTTGGCACATTTAAATAGGTAGAATCTATTGCTGACAGCAAACTACAGGTTGTGAAACATCTACATATTGTCCATTCGTTCAGCTAAGAAAATGGGCATCAAGTAAAAAAACTTTCAACTGGTATGTTCTCTATTCTCAGCAGGACTTTTCATCCATTCAAATCCAATTATAAAAAGAATCAATGATTTAATATGAGTAGTGGTTTAGCAAATTTAACAAAATATTCATATGCACTACGTGAACTATAATAAATGATAAATTTATCTTTTGCAGGTGTAAGACCTATTCTTGGGTACCATGGGCTCTCTTAAAGGACACTTTAACCTTGTCGCTGTTCCCATCATGCACTGCAGTTAAGCCGATAAAATTTTGTCTTGATAAATAAACGATCCTTTAAACTGAAAAACCTTTGAATAAATTTGCATTTCTTATTAAGTAGAAAACCTAATGTTTGCAATTATACTCGAATCGTCAACAATTGTGTACTTGCACCCTGTTGCTATGTTTTTGAGTCAATTTTAGAAAAAGGGGGTAAATTTTTCTGCAGGACTTGTCCTATTTAAGAAACATTCAACTATCTCAAGAAGGCCTATAATCTCTAGCTATATTTGATACACTATCTTTAAGTTTTATCTTATAGAAGGACACTCATATCTTTTTTATTTTGATGATTTTTTGTTGTTGTTTTTTAAATATTTATGTGAAAGTAACGACAGTTCACCTGATTTCGTACTTAACTCTGCAATTTTCAAAATTTGTCAGCTTTGGTGTAATAAACTTAATGAAATTAATAATAGAAAATACAACAAAATGGTCAAGAAATCACTGTATGCTCCATGGAGCTTTAATGAAATATTGTTGATTTCCCTTTCAGCTGAATCATTGTCCAAGATACACACCTTAAGCATGGATTTGACTGTATTTGTTGATATATGTGACAATATAGTATTTGTTTATATACATGTATATTTCTCCTAATAAATCAATACAATACAAAAATATGTTACCTATTCTTTATAAACTTACAAAGATATTTTGGTTCTGTTTTTTCTTTCTTTTTGCCATAACCACTGAAGCACTGCATTGTCAAATATGAGTAAAGTTCTGAAAAACAACATAAGCAGAAACAATTAATAAAATTACAGTGAAAACATATATAACAGAGATTGATGGATGGATGGATGGATAGATTTTTTTATTATAATATTTATGTAACATGGTCTCAGGCTTCATATATAAAAACATGTACAAGATTTACAGACAGTTCACCCCTCAGACATGTAATTCAACCCAGACAACCCTTCAGACACTTCACCCATTTTTTATGAAATCTAAATGAGACACTTACCCCCTTCCCCCATTTTTATTATATGTTTTTTTTAAACAAATGAATTAAGGTGAAACATGTGAATTGGAGTCACTGATGAAAAGAAACATTCATTGTTTTGACATATCTTTTATTATGAATGTAGACCATATAAAATACAGATATTGTCTTTTCCCTAGAAAGACTTAACTACAATGGTATTTTTGAAATAGCAAATAAATATCATCATTAATGTAGATATTTTTTATAATATATCATTAGTACATTAAAATTGAAATGAATTAAAGATTTAATAACTGAATAAAATGTCATATCTTATATAAGTCATTTAAAGCATGTGCACATTTGTCTTTGATGGCGATACACACTTATTGAAAGTACATTGATATACAGTCAACTATCGTTATCTCGATATCGCTTTTCTCGATATTTCGTTATCTCGATGAACTTTTGAAAGTCCCGATTTTCTTCCTTATTTATCTATATTTGAAATATTTGTTTATCTCGATATTTTTATTTCGATATTTTCAGTTACTCGATGTAAAATTTCAGCCCCAATAGTTATTTTCACACTATTATTCTTTGTTTATCTCGACTAATAATTTTCTTTCGTCTGTTCCTTCAGACGTGTGAAAAACACAAACTAGACAATAATTGCTCAATAGCCCGTCACATAATGATGATTATGTTTATAAAAAGTTAATCTGTTTTTATAAAAGTTAATCTATTTAGCGTGTTGATTGACTTATGTCCAAAATGAGTGAATTTTACGTTCTTTATAAATATTCGAACACTGAATCAATTCATTATGACTTTAAATGTAAATGAAATAGTAAAGGTATAGAAACGCTATCGTTGCAATATTGTTTCACAACATCACCACTAAATCCATCAGCGGTGGAACAATCTTGATAACTAACCCAGGAGGATATTTGGATCAACCACCCTGAATTTTTTTTTTCACTATGTTTGTGTTTTTATCACAGACACCCGTATTTCCGCTGGTAAACATCCGCTAATGTTACTTTGTTAAATATTGATTAGGCCTATGAAAACAAGACATCTGGATATCATAGTTTATTTGACATAAGGTATGCACATGTCTTTTGTAAAAATCAGTTTCTGCCTTATATGTTTATCTCGACATTTCGTTATCTCGATATTTTTTGGACGGTCCCGATGACTTCGAGATAACGAGAGTCGACTGTAGTTTATGTTAAAGGTCACAGCAATTTTATACATTTGTAGCTGTTTATTGATATCTTTTTTCTATATGTATGTCAAGTTTAATTGTTGTAACCTGGAACATACGTCCCAGTTGTAACATATGTTAAATGTTGTCATGTTGTATGTTTAGTGTAAACTGTCTTTCATGATGTTTAAGTACATGTAGATCTATATTGAACATATTCTGGACTTAGATCTTAAAAATAAAGAAATTTAACAAACAATGGTTGCTTTTATGATGAAATATTTACTTTAAAATAATATTGGACAAGGCGTTAACTGTCTTACTGACATTCTGATTTTTATAGACACGATCATAGGCACTCGGTTCCACAACTTTCTACGATTTTTAATTTCTTTAATTTTTTTTAATTTGTATATATACAAAAAAATTAAAGAGAGAGTGCCTATGGACACGATAGTTTATCGTAGGTTTCCCGCCAAAATGTCAAAACAAATAATACCATTACTTCCGGTCTGCAAAAATGTTATTCGTAAACTCTTGTCCAAAACTCAAGTCAATTTCGCTTACTGGCTTGATTTTTTCCATTTATCACATAACATACCTCGTTCATTTTATAAGATGTGTACCTGAAAACGTATATGTAAATAATAAATATGACAAGAATTTGTAACTTCCGGCCAAAGTGAAAGCGGAAGTAGAAATGAAAATAGAAAGAGTCGATTATAGAATTTGACAGAGAAGAAAGAACTCATGTAAACATCATAATTTGTTCTTTAGTAAAGTATTTGAGTGATATTTTGATCATATTTTGGTCCATAGTTTGTTGTTTACTATGTTGGCAATGTAAATATTCGTGTTTTAAGGAAACTTTAATTGTAATCGTTCGATATTTAAGCTTTCGAACTTGACAATTTCGCAACAATCTGAAGTGGGTGGGGTAAAATACCACCTGTCCATATCTATCTGTACATATTTCTTAAATGTCCAGTGGCTTTATATGTTTTCATTAGTTAGTTTGTTTTGTTTGTTTGTTTGGTTCATTGAAACGCCTTTTCACAACAGTATTTCAGTCATATAGGCGGGTAAAAGATAAAAAGATAAAGATATCCTAAACTACCAAAGCCTAAAGAATTAATACAGCACAGGTCAACTCGGCCCTCCAGGCCTCGATGAAATTTTCAAAGGTCACTCCCCTATAAATTTACTTACCTTTCATTTTGGGTGAGAGTGTTTGGACGAACTACCGGTTCGGCGCACTTACCTTATATGTGGTTTCGGCGAACTAAATTTATATAGTGCAAAAAATATCTATTGTATAATGTGCACGTCAATTACCATAGGTCTTAATGTGGTGGTTTATCACACATTTTCATGCAATTAGAGACAAGATATTGAAAATTTGAACCTATTATTTATTATTTTCTTTAGTATAATAGCTCTATTTACATAAAACCATATCACAATACAAAAGATCTCAGGTTACAAACAAACAACATCATAGAGATATATATATATATATATACGTAAATAAGTAAAACCTGAAAAAAGAATAATGATATAAAATTTACACAAATATATACACATTAAGTTAAGCCTGTAAAATATGAAAACATTTTTCATTATCTATGTCAAACTATAAAAGTATATTCACAAATGGTAAAAGCTGAAAAAAAAGAAACAATGTTTTAATCAGAATGAAATTGACATATATACACATAAAAATAAAACCTGTAATAGAAAGAATTAACAATGTTTTTTTTTATAATCTAAATTAAAGTATATACACAAAAACAAGACATACAAAAAAACATAAAAATCCAAAATAAGAAAAATCCATACTATGATTTTGTACGTAATAACACATCTTTTTTAAAATCTTTATTCATCTCTATATAAATAATTGACACATGCATAGTATTAAAGAGAATACACCATGATTTTTACGTAATAAACAACAACAATAGATCTGCGTTTCATGGAGAGTCCTATGTTAATCCTAAATCCTAGGACTTATGACAAACTTTAGGAGAAAAAGTTTTTGCACTTAAGACCGTTTCAAGTAACTGTCCTATCTTTTGTCTTAAACTTAAGACTTATGACCAATTTGCTCTCCTGAAAAAAGTTACAAAATACAATGGCACGCGCATAATCCCGGATTGGATTTACTATGTAATTGATTATAGCAAGTACAAAAAGTAATGTATTTCCCTCTTATCATGTTGAGTGAAAATATATACCATATTTCACGAAAAACGATAAAATAACCGTTTTATTAAATTTCATAGTAAAAATGTTTACGAACCCCCTTGCTTGCTACGCAACTGCAATTGTACATCGCGCAGTAATATTATTATTTATAGATGCGTCTTGTTTTGCACGCGATATTTGACGCTAAATTGTGACGTCATGTAAACAACTCTTTAAACGTCTTTACAGCGTTAATGACTGAAATAAAGATATTGGTGGTCGGATTTTTTTTTTCTTAGTTAGACCATTATCTATCATTCTAGATAGTTTTCAAAACAAAATTCAACAAAAAGATGTTTGATTTTGGAGTGGTTTTGACTTAGGACAATCTTAAGATACCTTTACAACACTCCTAGACTTAGGACTGTTTTTGGTCATAAATATAGGAGTCATAAGTTAGGACCTTTTTTAAGACTTTCTTTGAAACGCAAAATTGTCACAATTTTTATCTTAAGACAAACTTAAGACTTAGGACTCTCCATGAAACGCAGCCCTGTTTTTATTCTTTATGCATCACTCTATATAAAACTGAAAAATCGTCTTCATAAATTCCGTTGATAAAGTTGTTGGATCCTATACCTGAAATGTGGCTACATAATCTCAGTAGTTGGGAAGTAGTCATCTCATCACTTTTGTACTTGTCCCAGGGCGTCAAATAAGGCCCCATGGATGTGGGCGTAAAAATTTTTTTTTTTCATCAAAACTCATTAATCAAATAACGAACAAATCATTATCAAAATAAGTATAATAATATAGACATACTTGTACAATATATTATACTCATTAATGACATTTGCTTCATAATTTAATTAACAATGTTTGAAGACAGAGTACATTTTAATATAGTTTTCATCACTGATCACTCAATGAAGCTGATGTTATTACATTCTGCAATCCTGTCACTAATCAATGACACTTATTTTTGACAGAGATAACTTAGTTAATACATACTTTAATGTTTGATATATTATACAGCTGATGGCAATGAAGAATTTACTTTGTTTCTTCATTTTGAATCTGCACTTTTTACACAAATAAAAGAACTTCCACTTGAGAGACCACAATGTAAAATTTCCAAGGGAAAACCCTGATGTCACTTTCATACTGCACCTAAATGAAGAGCTTGAGTGTTTATAAACTGCACAAGTAATGTTATTTTCAAGTTGATTTTCTCAGTACTGTTACTATTAAATGCAAGAGAACTACCACTTTATATGTCTCAAGAATTTTAATTACTGCATTACAAAACAATATGCTGTCTGAATGAAAATACTGACACAACCATTTTAATCAAATCAGTGTAACATGCTGCGAAGAAATATACCCAGAAAGATACATAAAATCATATTTTTGTGTTATTCTGAACCCGATTTGATGGAAAAGCATTGGAATTATTATTATGGAAAAACAGAGTTAGCTGATGACCTGCACACAAGTTATTGGTCTAGTCCTACATCAAATAGAACATTAATCTCGAAAAATTATTTCCAGTTCGGTCATGTCAAAAAACCTCAGTGGTGTCCCTTTAAAGCCAGTATATTTTTAGACGTATAAAAAACACTTAGGAGGAATTTTGGTACTTAAGGACTTTTTTGTACATTATTGTCCAAAACTAAAGACCAAAATGCATTGTTGTCTACAATGTATATCATTTATTTTTGATTATTCTATGTAATGTTTAGAAAAGTGATTTTTTCATTTTTTGACTGTGGAAAATGTACATGTTGATACATAAACACATTAAAAACAAAATAAATTCAATTTAAAAAATTTATGCGGTGAAATAGTTTATAACATGGCCGTAACATTTAACCTCAAAAGTATAGTCAGAATCATTTTCAAATATCCATTTATAACATAAAAATAACATTGAAACTGAAGTTAATACATGGAAAATCCAAAGGGAATTTAGCAATATTAAATTTAACATTTATGATGTGTTTTAGATATTATGTAGAGTAATGTATTACATAATTTTGTTCCTGTAGAAATTCCCTTAAATTACATATAAGTAATGATTTTAACCACAATACTTCACTCTAAAGTTCAAGAATACAAACATGATATTGCCAATGTAAAAAATAAACACACAGTATTTAAAAATATTTGATTATATTTGCAGATAATATTTTATAACAAAAGATGGCTGAATCAAAACCCAAACTGGATTTGAATAATGTTGATATGAGAGGGAGTAATGATTACGAGAACAGGATTGACAGATTCAGCAGGGGGATGTCCATCACTCGAACTTTCAAAAGGGAACCAGACAAGAGGTATATGAAACTTTTGGTTTTATTCGTTAAATAAAGCATATTATTATTTCAGACACATTAAAGAATGACTGTCATGCATTTTTGTCAAGTTAAAAGGTTTGTTAAAATAAGTTTAATGTAAGAAATATATAATGTGTATAAAGTCTGTATTAAAACTTTGTTGTCACCGTATGGTGTTTTGTGATACTAGTGTATAAGTTTTGAAAATAACTCAACATAGCTTATAGCTCAGTAGGTAAAGTATTATAGTTATTAAATTAAACATTATATGTCTGACTTAAAAAAGGTTTCCAAAACTGCAAATATAAATAAAACTTAAATTGAGTAGACAAAGAATGCCTTACAATAGTCTGTAAAAAACATTTAAAGAAAAGAAGCAAGGGAGTAATGAAGAACAGTTGAAAAACAGCAAGTAACTAAAATTTATAGACTTTGTCCTTCATGAGCTTCATATTTGTTTTGTTTCTTTAAAGTGACATGTTTCCTTTGATTGTAAATACCACATTGTGTATGTCAGTCAGATTATTCAACTCTTACTCTTAAATGCTAATACCCATATCACCCATAAAGAGCCATGTTAGTATGTAGTATATACATGTAGCCAGGCTAGCATGCACATCAAGTCACCAGTGTAGAACCAAGGTAGCCTGTTAATTATGTCACCTGTTAAGAGGGAATCAAGCATGTACATGAAGACAGGCTAGTGTGTACATCAGGTCATCAGTATATAGAGCAAACCTGACATGTACATCATGTCACCAGTCTAGAGGGAGGCAATAATGTACATCATGTCACCAGTATAGAGCCAGGATAGCATGTGCATCATGTCACCAGTATAGAGGCAAGCTAAGCCTGTTCATCATGTCACCAGTATAGAGCCAAGCAAGCCTGTTCATCATGTCACCAGTGTAGAGCCAGGCAAGCCTGTTCATCAATGTCACCAGTATAGAGCCAGGCAAGGCCTGTTCATCATGTCGCCAGTATAGAGCCAAGCAAGCCTGTTCATCATGTCATCAGTATAGAGCCATGCAAGCCTGTTCATCATGTCACCAGTATAGAGTCAAGCAAGCCTGTTCATCATGTCACCAGTATAGAGCCAAGCAAGCCTGTTCATCATGTCACCAGTGTAGAGCCAGGCAAGCCTGTTCATCATGTCACCAGTATAGAGCCAGGCAAGCCTGTTCATCATGTCACCAGTATAGAGCCAGGCAAGCCTGTTTCATCATGTCATCAGTATAGAGCCAGACAAGCCTGTTCACCATCTGTCACCAGTATAGAGCCAGGCAAGCCTGTTCATCATGTCACCAGTATAGAGCCATGCAAGCCTGTTCATCATGTCATCAGTATAGAGCCATGCAAGCCTGTTCATCATGTCACCAGTATAGAGCCAAGCAAGCCTGTTCATCATGTCACCAGTATAGAGCCAAGCAAGCCTGTTCATCATGTCACCAGTATAGAGCCAGGCAAGCCCTGTTCATCATGTCGAGCCAAGCAAGCCTGTTCATCATGTCATCAGTATAGAGCCAGGCAAGCCTGTTCACCATGTCACCAGTATAGAGTCAGGCAAGCCTGTTAATCATGTCACCAGTATAGAGCCAGGCAAGCCTGTTCATCATGTCATCAGTATAGAGCCATGCAAGCCTGTTCATCATGTCACCAGTTATAGAGCCAAGAAAGCCTGTTCATCATGTCACCAGTATAGAGCCAAGCAAGTCTGTTCATCATGTCACCAGTATAGAGCCAGGCAAGCCTGTTTTATCATGTCACCAGTAATAGAGCCAAGCAAGCCTGTTCATCATGTCATCAGTATAGAGCCAGGCAAGCCTGTTCACCATGTCACCAGTATAGAGCCAGGCAAGCCTGTTCATCATGTCACCAGTATAGAGCCAGGCAAGCCTGTTCATCATGTCACCAGTATAGAGCCAGGCAAGCCTGTTCATCATGTCACCAGTATAGAGCCAGGCAAGCCTGTTCATCATGTCACCAGTATAGAGCCAGGCTAGTGTGAACATCATGTCACAAGTATTGAGCCAGGCTAGTGTGTACATCATGTCACCAGTATAGAGCCAGGCTAGTGTGAACATCATGTCACCAGTATAGAGCTAAGCTAGCATGTACATCATGTCACCAGCATAAAGTCATGCTGGTGTGTATAACATGTCACCAGTATAGAGTGATGCTATTATGTACATCATGTCACTGACACCAGTATAGAGTGATGCTAGTGTGTACATCATGTCACAAGTACAGAGCCAAGCTAGTGTGAACATCATGTCACCAGTACAGAGCCAAGCTAGCATGTAAATTATGTCACCAGCATAAAGTCATGCTGGTGACCAGTATAAAGCGATGCTAACATGTACATCCTGTCACCAGTATAGAGTGATGCTAGTGTGTACATCATGTCACCAGTACAGAGCCAAGCTATCATGTACATCATGTCAACAGTATAGAGTCAAACTATCATGTACATCATGTTACTTTTTTAAAAATAATTTAAAAGACACTTATTTTAAAGAAAATCAACATTTTTATAATGCTTTGACCCAAGAGACCAGTTATTTATCTTAATTCATGCATTTATATCAACAAATTACCCATGGTTGTAATAATTTCTAGAAATGGGAGGTTTCCATATTAAGAACAGTAAAAATGTGCCATTGTTTTGTGTAAATTAAATGTTATTGTAACATGAAAAATTGATTAATTTATATTGAAGTTATAATTTCTTTTTTATGCTCCATCCTTAGGGATGCTATTAACATGACCTTGATTTATTTTAATTGGAGTTGAACTTCCATTTGTTGCTTCCTCAAGAGTGAAATTTAGACCATTACCTTGTGAGTGAAATTGTTGTGCAATTTCCTTGCAGCGAATACAAATGATTGTATGAAATCCCTGTAATCATTTTCTATTAATGTTCTTGTTTTTATGATGTTATTAACCATTAATTTATAATGTTAGGAAGTCGGCTAAGTTATTCTGGTCATTTATTTGTCTCCAGTCTGCGGAAGTTACTCTGCGGAAGTTACTCTTTTAAGGCTTCTGAAGTCATTGTTTCCTCGCTGATAGAGACCTTGTCAGGGATGTATTGTTTGTCATATACAACAGCAGTTATTTTAGAGGACCATATATTGATGTTTTAGATAGAAATCTATTACATTGTGCATGATGGAATCAGTAGACCTGATTGATTGACATATAAAATGTATTGGGAGGGAATTGAAAGTCACACAGTTTGAAAATGGAAACAAGTGAATGGTGATATTGTGTGATATAATATTGTGTGTAGTATACTTTATTTATTTTCATATAAGGATGGAAAAATACTGTGGATAATTATTTTATTGGATAATTCTTTGATAGTGATAATTATTATGTTGTAATGATAATCTTTATATTGGATTACATTACGTTTGTGATTTATTAGATGATTATAATTATAATAAAGCAGTGTTCAAAGTAGGGTTTAAAAGTTTGATCAGGCTGTGTAGATGTGCAGGCTGGCCTTGTTCTATACTGGGGGCAAAGTCTAATCACTTTCTGTTCTAGCAGGTCAAGGGTTTTGCATTCAATGGGTTAAATGGTTTCATTATCACAGTACTTTGGATAAAAGGTTACACATAACCTTTATAAGTTGAATTATTCAAATTTGATGGACAGTAAAAAATGTAATATTTTCAGACTGTTGAATTCTCCTTTTCTAAACCTGCATTAACAATTATTGTTGTTGGACATTGAGTCGAATGGTCAGTTGTCTCTCATGCCGCTGATTGAGAAATAATGTAAGATAAGTAGCAGATTACTTACAGAGGGGCAATTACTGGTTACTGGTTAGTTATCCAGGAAAGCCGGGTTTGGTGGATCATAACTGCCAATATATAACCAAAAATGTGTGTGAAACATAAGTGTAAAAATAACAGAAAAACAAAAGATAAATTTTTGTTGTTTTAACAGATTGTAATAGATTGAACCAGGAAATATACACTTAACTACCAAAGGAAGTGATCCAACATATTTCATATTTAATGTTACATCCAGCATTTTTGTTTTTAACTTATAAAAAGTGAAAATGTTTCAGATAAATATGTGACATATCCAATTTACCTGTATTGGATCATTTAATTATGTTGTCTGGGATGTTAATTGTTTAATGAACTTTATATATATTGGATGATGTCTATAGTCAATAAACAATACAAATTGTCTCTGAATTGTCAGTGTGGAATTATGTGATCTACAATTACCAGGAATTATTTTAATGCAAACTGGGAATATAAGACATTAATATTTAAAGCTCTAATAATTATATTGATTCCCTGCAATTTTCTTTTCTGCTTTGATTAATTTGATACTGCTTTTGATCTTTGGTTTTGCATTGGATTAATTATTGCTGACTAGGCTTAAATTGGAGAATTGAGACTAAATCCAATATTCAGGCTGTTTTTGTGGAGACTTTTAGAGAATGTTTAATTGGTTTAAAAATTCAGTGTTTTCTGAAGTATTTTGACTTGTACAGGAACAAAATGATAATGTTTCAAGGTGAGAATAATCTTCTTGTCAAGGTCATCAAATCCTGATAGTTGTTAATGGGTAGTGAAAGTAATTCACTGCTTTACATAATTGCCTTCTATCTGTTGAGTAGAATTTTATTGCTGATTTCCTTAATTGAAGGTCAAGGTCAATGATAAAGTATAGACATTAGCTTTTTTTCTGGGATTTGGCAAAGAATAAACTGTTGTTTAATTGTATTTTGTCTGTTGCTATGCATACAGAATGTAATAAAGTCAACCATCTAATGTAATAATTACAGCTTAAACTTGTTCAGCATTGCTACAGTTTACCATGGGTCTTGTACATTTATTGTATAGTACATTGTACTGGTCAATTTAATGGGCAGTCCTATAATGTCATCAGTAACCTGCAGAAAATATAGTCTTGTATTTAAACAATTTCAGACACTTTTTAGCTCCTTGTGGCAGCCACAGTATATCCCTGCTTGATTGTAAGAGGCAACTAAATCAAGGGTTCGAAATACTGGAGTCTGTGCATCTCTTAGCTCCAGCAGGTGAGGTGGTGTTGACCCCTGGTGTTGCTTTATAACGCCCTAGGTTAGCCAAAATCATCTTTCCTGTTTCAGCGCTATATGACCTATACTGCGTTGGTGCTCTGTAAAACGTAACAAACAATACAATCGGACACTTATTTAAAACCTTGTCCTGTAACTCACTTATTCACTTGTGTTATACAAGATAACATGACTGTGATCCTAAGAGGGCTCAAACTCACAATCCCTGGGTTGAAAATTGTAATTCTGAGCACATTCAAAGACACTTAGAAGTGCCATCTCTCACCTTCCAAGGGTAAATAAATTGATAATTTTGTATTCTTAGCCCTTAGCTTATATAATCTCAAATTTCATTTCCACATCTTCTAATTAATTCCTTTAGTGAAAATCCAACTTAAATTGGTTAAAATTTTAAAGCAGAAAATTACTTGGCAATGGTTCAAAATAAAGTCAGAATAAGTCTTACTGCACTGTGTTTCATAATTATATATTTGGGAAAGTTTAAATATTATTGCAGACACACTTGATTTATGTATCAAATAGTTCTTGTTTCTTAGAATAGCCTTTTATAAAACTGTTCTAGTAAAGCTTTCAGAATCAAAGGAACCTTGTATGCTTATGAATGCCCATTTTTTTCAGCTGTTTGTTTGTATTGGCTGGGATTTAAACTGCATACTATTTGGCTGTAAAAGGTTTTGGTATCTTCAGTATCATGTTATTTGGCGTCTATTAAATGGACCATCTATTTAGTAGTCACTGTTTTACTTTACTGGGATTTATTTAGGATGTTGATGTCCAAGTCTTCCAGATATGTTTTTACTAAGATATCTTATTTGCTGTGGCAATTTACTGAAAGCGTTGTCAAGACTTGGCACATTTAATTTGATTTGCATGGAGCAATTTGAATATTTGTATTTGTAATTCTCCTTGTGGAGTTTAAGGGATTTCTACAAATGTAAAACAATATTATTAGAATATTATAAGGCTGATTATCTGAGATATGATATACCTTGGTGGCAAAGACATGATTATTATGATCAAGAATTTGGAGTCTTAGTTAACAAATCATCTGCTGAATTTCTTGACTTGCCCACCTTTCATTTTTGAAACTCTCTATTATCAATATTATTACCAAGATGAAATTTGAAGTTGGTCAGCAAACAGTATAGAGCCTGGATCAGTATAGATGTGCAAACTTGCCTTGCTCTCTACTGGTCACTAGTCCCAGCATGGTAATTAATGTTTAATATAAGGTAACTATATATTTGGTTCATTGCTTAGTTGCATGGCCAAAGTTTACCAACTCTAATTGAATGATAGTTAATACTGTACATGTTTTATAAAAGCTAAATATCTCCCCTTGTTTAAGTCCCCATATTATTAAAGAAATTGTACATTGAATATGCAATGAACATAATTATATACTACATGAAAACCTTGCTATTGTTTAGAAAATAAAACAAAAACATTCTGATTGATTTGGAGACATTCTCCTTCAGGGCTAGAATGCTAGTGCAGTATTTTTTCTTTGAAAGAAAACCTTTGCTTGAGTTAATTGTAAAGACAAGACTTTGTCAATATGTAGTGTCAGAACACTGACTGAGTTAATTTCCTACTGATAGAATGTATGGAGGAAACATCCACTTAACTGGAAAACAAATATTCCTTCAGACTTATTTGGAACTTTTTTCTGTATATGTGTCTATCTTTGTGATGTAATGATCAAGATACAATTTTTTACAATTCACTCAATGACTTTTGCACATAATGTTGTTTGTTATCGTTGCTATTTCCCTGAGTTTCTTGATATATCTTATGAATTTGTGATAATTTGATAAGAAATCAATACAGATGAAATGAAAAGATGACATTTTATAACATTTCATAATTATGAAGTAGATCAAGTGGGTTTGTAAATTATAGAGTAATATACGGCAGTTTTGATACCTAATATCGAGGATATTCTTGAAAAGGTGTGAAGATTAATGAGTGTATAGTTTCTCCAGTAAATTGTTTGGAATCGGAGAAAACAGCCTTTTACGGTCTGCTATACAAACTGATATCTGCAGCAGACGACAGTATTGTTGCAACATGCAGTGAAGATTCCGTAACCAATAATTGCGAGGACTTTTTTCACTTATGGACATGCGAATTATAAGAGAATTATACAAGCCTCTGTTTCAAAGAAATGCCTTTTAAAGGGATATCGAGTCCCAGTGATTTTGTTTGTTGGAAATGATGAAAATCATGTGTAAGATAAAAAATTTTAGTTAATTGGCTGGTGATGTAACACTATTGCTATTTTTGTAACATAACTTAATTGATTACTTAAACTTGGATTGTATTGCTCATGCAAAAGGTATTGTGATATTTAAAGGTGTGTGTCTTTAACGTTTTACAAAATGTAGGTGCAGGAGGACATGAAAGTGATCATGTTATATTAAAGAATTATGCGTGATTTCTAATGTATGAATGAACAGCATTGTTCATAATATACTTTAAAAGCTGGCACTGTTATGTTTTATAAGGGAAGAATAAGGCGTGTTCCTTACAAAAATAATTGAATAGATGAAAGTGATCTTTGGATTTTAACATTAAATGCCTTATTTTGTATCAAACAAGACAAACTGTTGAGATATATTAACCAGTGTTCAGGAAAAAAGGTAACGGGGAAAGTAAAAGGAAACATGTTACGTGGCAGAAGATTTAGTTGTGGATCTACTAAATATGAAATCTCTCCAATTTACAGAGTGTTTGTCAACAGAAGCCTGATGCTGGAGAAGGTCAAGTTCTTCGGCTTTGATATGGACTACACACTTGCAGGTATGGAAATTTTCTTCTTTTATGATGTTTCAATATTTCATTCATATTTTATTTTGATTTGGTTTATTTTGTCACCCTAACACTTGTGAGGACCGATAATCATCATTTCCATTGTTTCTGATGGAGGAAGGTATAAGGTCACTGGTGTCTGGCCATATATGTTTCAAAGCAACCATATTAAAAAGACATCTTACTATACTATAGTAATGAGCAATGATCTTTAACAAGCAGCCCACCATCTTTAACAAGTCCCTTAAATGATAAGAAAAAAATTGTTTAAATTGAAAAACATATTGATTTTTATTTTTGATAGCCTTTTACTGAGAAATAGTTAACAGGTAAACAATTTATGGAGGAAACTGTTGATCTGTTTTAACAAGGACAAAATGTTTATACCTGTAATATTTTACCTAAAGCAGGAAGTAAATGTCTACCTGTCTATGTGAATATAGGAATACTGCCTATAGAAATGCAATGGAACATATAGCTAAAGTTTTTTTTTGTCTCCAAAGACCTTTTCTTATTGTATTGCACTTAAAACTCTTCTAGGAATATGTAAGCGGGAACAATATCAAAGAATCTCCAGTAGTAAAGTTTTGCAGTTATGGATTTTTTTTCTGTTGGTTTTTATTTAACACCAACACAGTATAGATCATATGGTGGCAGCTTTACTGGTGGAGAAAGCTTACTGGTGGAGAAAGACCTCAGGTGCCTCTCTGTGTGTTATTTCAGGCATGAATGGGCACATTTGTAGAACCACATATGTTACGAAAGCATGCTGGATAGCTTCCTCACATGAAAGAATACAAAGTCCCTCTAGGGGTTCGAACCCACAAGTGGTTTGATGTCAATGACCTTAACCACTCAGCCATGGACACCCTATTATGGCATAACATTTTATATTGAATAAATTTTAAAGCTTTTAAACAGTATATAACTTTTCATTTACTTTTTATAAAAAGAACATAGAAAAAACTAAACAATGTTTTAAAGCATATCTCAATCCTCTTGTTTCTTTCTTGATCCATGAATTTATTCATATGATTATTTTTTTGTTGTTGTTTTCATTCATGGTTTTATTTTATGTCAGTCCTTTTGCATCTGTTTTAATCCATAGTTTTGGATACAATTTTACATTATTAATCCTTTTATTTTGGTTTTGATCCATGGTTCAATATAATAATATTAGCTTGACTATTCAAAGAATAGGGAGAGCTATTGTACTCACACAGGCGTTGTTAATTTTGTCCTTCTTGGCTTTCTTTTGGGATTCTGTCTCTTTCTATTTGGTTAAGTTTGCATGCAAGTTGGTATACCTTTATTCACTTTGTGGAATAGGTTGAATCATTACACACTTAGATCGAGAATAATAGGTCAATGTCCCAGGCCCTTAACTCTAGCATGGATTTTGACAGAGTATAGCCCATTTTGAACTCAAAATTCAACATTATCCAGGGTCTTGTTTTTCTATCTGGCAAATGGTATAGTCCTATCAACAGCTCTTGTTGTTGTATTTTTGTTTATATTGATTTAATAGTAACATTTATTGTATGAGGTATTTTTGTCATGTACTGTAGATGTAATCAGGTTAATTGGGAATTAGGGAACCAATCTGTTTTGGTGTTACTAATTGAAAATGTCCTTGACATTGGTAGTTTGTATTTATATATACATGTACTATACAGTAAAACTTCTATGTGTCAAACTTTGCTTAATCAATTTTCTTGATGTAACAAAGTTTAGTTTTATACCGACAAGAAATACCATGGCAACCATATTTGAATTCTATGGCCTAAAATAAAATTTAAAAAAAAAGTTTACAAATGCATATTTTGAATGAAAGGTTTGGTTTGTATGGTGGCTAAGTGAGCATATTATCATGTCTTTGCCCTCGACTTTGAGGGCAACAACTTGAACCGGCAGAAATCAGCCACCATAGGTTTTTCCATCTCATTCTCTCAACCTATTTTATCTGTTACTGTTGAAAATGCCGTTTTTTGGTAGTTGAAGGATTTCACATAGCCTTGTCATTATATTTCCTTCGCCATTAAATTAGTTTGTCATTATATTTCCTTTGCCAGAAAATTCATACATTCTCATTGTCCCTAGAAATAATGGTGAGAATATTTTCTATGTAAATTGGTGTATGGTGTTGTCTAGAGGGAATTAATAAGACAATAAATCATTTCTGTCTCCCACCTACTTAGCTTTAAAAAAGCTTTAACCTTAGCTGAATATTTATATTTATAATGGACTTTATTTGAATTTTGAGCAGTTGAAGCTGTGACTGTTACTAGATTTGATGATTTTGATATTAAATATTAAAAAATTCAAATTAAAAAAAAGGGCAATCAACAAACAGAGACTAGCAGACTTACTCAGGTAATTTGTCACCTTAGTGCAGAAACGGGTTAACTCCTGATATAAATTAATAGGAGTTAACTCATTACTGCACTATGGAGACAATATGCTAACTAGCCTTGCTCTATACTGGTGGCATAGCCAGGTCATTATTGCAGCCATCATTCAAAAGGTTAAAAGATTTTCAATAAAGATTTAATTTGGAGCTTTATTTAAAATACATTATTTGAGTTAAGATAGTATTTTTATGTTAATGAGTTAATGTTGCCAGTTTATTTTTATACCTTGAGAAATGAATGTATTTTTCAATCAAAAGTATTTTGAACTTGATTTAGATTTGATAGAGCTATTGGCCTTAATCTGCCCTATCAATTTACTAGCCAACTGCCCGTCTAATTGGCTAGACACGCCTTTTCCTAGTGATAATACTAATTTCACTGTTGGCCCCAGACTTTCGGACAAATAAGTTGTTTCTTAATTAAAGTTTGATACTTAAATTAAAACTAGGGAATGATGAATTTAAGGTCAGGAACCTGGGATTAATGAAAGGTCACATTTTGACATAGATTAATGGCTCACCTCACATCACCATTTCCTTTTTTATGACTGAAGTTGTTTTTTACCTTTTGGGCATTTCCCATGTGTGGTGGTCAGTAAAAGTAGGGATACTTTTGATGTAAACCTTGAAATGTCAGTGATTTTACGTTCCCTCATACCTCTCAACTGTTCTCAGGTAGAAATAATAAATGTGGGAAAATGATGGTCTTAAAATTAATTAATTTTGTTGTCTGCCTGGATACAGTTTTTTTTATTGTGTATTTTTCTAATTAAAATTTTTTGGTAAAATTGCATATTTTCAACATTGAATTTTCCTTAACTATGGATATTTTTGCAATAGAAATTTTTGTATTGGAATTCAATTATAAATTGTGTAATAAATTTTTTCGTGACTCGGTTTTGTTGTTGACATTTTAAACGAGGTGTAAGAAGTTTTATAAAGCTTCTTTATATATGGTAGATGTCAAGCCATATTTGCATAATGTATTTATGATGACACTTTATTACGATCTATATGTTTCGTTCCATCTTATGCTGCTAGGATAAAAACCCTTTTTAATCAATTACGCATCATGTTTTTGTTAGGGCTGTATAACGCCAAGATGACATCTTGTGGCAATATTGACTTAGGCAACTTGTCACCTTTACTACTGAATCGTCGCATAACTTTCTTTACTTAACCAATTTTTTATCGATGAAAATAACAGGAAGTATGCAAATTTGAATCCCACCCTGCCGATTTTCACTTCAATGTCTTTGATCGTTTATAACGGCACCCCTTAAATACTTTTTAAAAATTGATCTATTTACGTAGTTTGCATATCTGAACTAAGGGATTTTCAGCTTAAAAGCATTTTATGAGAAATGAAATAAATTTATATAAGATTTTTTGCGTGGTTTTCAAAATAAACCTCAACATAATTGTGTTGCTAGGTTGTAAACATTGACAGAGCTAATGTTAAAGGACTCTTTAAACTGTTGCTACGAAAACAGTTTTCAAATATCTTATCAAAGGGTGACATTTAGATTTGTTTTTAAAAAAATGGAAATCAACATCTGTTTCAAAGAGTTATACATTCTTGAACATTCATTCATTTGTAATAAATATCCCTCCATTAATAGATTATCTAAGTTTGTATCCAACCCTCCTAGATGCTAGCACTAAAAGTCTGTCCTCTTTATAGATGTTCAAACTTAATATCCCTCCCCTTATAGATGATTGTGCTAATATCCCTCCACTCATAGATGATTGTGCTAATATCCCTCCCCTCATAGATGATTGTGCTAATATCCCTCCACTCATAGATGATTGTGCTAATATTCCTCCCCTCATAGATGATTGTGCTAATATCCCTCCCCTCATAGATGATTGTGCCAATATCTCTCCCCTCATAGATGATTGTGCTAATATCCCTTCCCCTCATAGATGATTGTGCTAATATCCCTCCCCTCATAAATGTTTGTCCCTAATAGATGATTGTGCTAATATCTCTCCCCTCATAGATGATTGTGCTAATATCTCTCCCCTCATAGATGTTTGTGCTTAAATATCCCTTTCCTCATAGATGATTGTGCTAATATCCCTCCCCTCATAAATGTTTGTCCCTGATAGATGATTGTGCTAAAATATCTCCCCTCATAGATGATTGTGCTAATATCTCTCCCCTCATAGATGATTGTGCTAATATCTCTCCCATCATAGATGATTGTGCCAATATCCCTCCCCTCATAGATGATTGTGCTAATATCTCTCCCCTCATGGATGTTTGTGCTAATATCTCTCCCCTCATAGATGATTGTGTTAATATCTCTCCCCTCATAGATGATTGTGCTAATATCCCTCCCTTCATAGATGTTTGTCTCTGATAGATGATTGTGCTAATATCTCTCCCCTCATAGATGATTGTGCTAATATCTCTCCCCTCATAGATGATTGTGCTAATATCCCTCCCCTCATAGATGTTTGTCCCTGATAGATGATTGTGCTAATATTTCTCCCCTCATAGATGATTGTGCTAATATCCCTTCCCTCATAGATAATCGGCTAATATTCCTCCCCTCATAGATGATTTTGATAATAT